AAACAGCAGCTTCCCCAGCACTAACCCTGAATATTTGCCTGGTTGTGACTCTGGAAGGCTCGGCATTGGCCATAAGATGAGATTCCCTCTCCTCATCCTAACAAATATCACTACAGTTGCTCAACCCGAAAGCCCTCTCTGAAATCTCCCTCCTTGGCGTGGTCTGCATGACATGCAGTGGGCTCAAGAAGTACCACCAGGCTGGTTGGTGTCACCGCCTGGTTCTGCATGAACAAAGAGCTGGGCACTGGGAAGCTTCCAGTGTGTGCTGAAAGATGGATAAGTGGGTGATGATGTGTCTTGAAGATCAGCTAATCCAGAGCTTCTCACAAGCGCATTCTCTCTCTTTTTCTAGTTCAGGAAAGCTGGAGAGCTTTTAAGTACCTGGCAAGTATACTGGCAGAAACGGAAAACACCAAATAGTCCAAACTCATTGCCCAGCCCTGCAGCAGTGAGGACTAGCTCTCTTCTAGGGATGTGTTAACGTCGTGAAGCGCCAGGAAGAGGAGCTGGCAGCGTTCCCGCTTCACTCGTCCCGGTAGGAGAGGAAAGCCTGCTGACAAGTGCAATGCTGAGCCTGACTCTCGGCCCATGGAAAGCTGCAATGGGTGAATGACGTATGGAAAAAAAAAAAAGCCTTCTGCCTGCGGAGACCCTCTAGTTATTGCCCCCTCCTACTGACAAGCACCCGGCTTCTACCTTCCCAAAGGGTGATGCAGGCTGTCCTGCTCACCTTGCGTAAGGGGCCAGCAGCTCTGTCTACTTCGCTCACTTTGAAGAGATCTTCTGCACCAGAAATGAGGACACAGCCAGCCTGACAGACCAAGGCATTGCTTGCACCTTTGGCCCTCTCCTGTCACCCAGGCCAGGCTCAGAGCAGGAAGGATAGACTCGCCACATAGGGAAAACTTCCGTATCGTCACGCAAGCCAGGGTTTGCCCAGTAAGCCAGGGGTTTGCCCTGGGGGAGAGAAGACACTGGGATTGGTGAAGGGAAGGCTGCAGAGACCAGATAACGCCTGCTTGTGTCGGGAAGGCCATGGGGAAAAGGAGCAGAGCCAATTAAACTCACCAGTCAATGGAGGAGAAGTAATGGGATTAAGATACAGCAGGGAGAATTCAGGTTAGATATAACGGAGCAGGCTATCATGAGAGGAGCAGACTGGGCCATCGACTGAGCTGCCAAAGGAATCGTTGTCACCGACACAGACACGGCAGAGAGCAGACACAAGCCTGCAGGAAGAGCAGGCGCCTGACTGCTGCTCAGCCTGGAGCTGTGGTGGGTGGATGTCCGTGTGCCGGGGGAGATGGGACCACTCCACCATGGAGAGGCTGTGTGCCAGAACAGGGACAGACCGTCTTTGGATATCTGTGCTGATAACCTGAGCTGCGAGGAGAATTAAATCAGCTGCCCTTTGCCCAGGGCACTAGGGTCCTTTGCCAACACTCAATAGGAAACCTATACACGCACACCCCTTCTGCTGGCTGTGTCCCGTGGTGGGGGTGGGAAGGGAGAGCCCAGTTGTCTGCCATGGACTTCCCTGCCTGGCTAGACATGCTGCCCTGCCATTGCAGGCAGGGAGAAGGAGAGGGAGCACAACCCTAGTTTCAGTCTGTCCTCTTCAGCTCCACCACTTCTCTGCCAAGCCAGGCAGCTTCTGTCCCTCCTGCTCCAGCTCCCCTCCCATGCTCAAGCACGCCATCCCTCTTTCCTGAGCCTAAGACAGGGCAGGAAGGTCTCCAGCCTGGGAAGAATGGAGTAGGCTGGACCTGGGGGGCAGCTCCACCAGGTGCAGTGGGTAGGAGGGCCAAGAATATGAGGAAGGGATCTCCAAGAAATCCTGGCATGCAGCGGAGAGCACTGGTGAGAGAGGTCCCACTTCTCAGGGTGCTGTGGGTCTGGCATGGCCACACACCGTGGCACTGGAACTACGTCTGGAGCCTGGCAGCGGCTGGCACTACGTGCATGGGGAAGGCGTTCAGCAGCAGGAAGACTCTGCATGGATCCTGCAGGCCAGAGCAGCAGCCATGCCTCAAAGACACGTGTATCCACCTGGACAGACCACCTCCAGAATAAGATTTTGTGGGTGAAAATGAGGCCAGAGGAACAAACTGAGGCAATCTCATGAAGAGGCCTAGAAAAAGCCAAGGACAAGGTGCCTGAAAGCAGAACTCTGCTGCAGGTGCTAAAGGAAGGGGGCACAGAGACCCTACTAATCTGTCCCTATTCTGAAGACTGTCTTTGCCCCAGGGAGCTAAAAGGCCTGCCAAACCTTTGATAAATCCATCTGTCCAAGGCACCTTGGAGGCTAGAGATGGAAAGACGAGCCACTGCAGCCTAATTTAAGCAATGTGTAGGAGATTTCAAAGAGAACATGTTGGGAAGGACAAATGGACCACGTTCCTCACTAATGACCCATTGCAGCTCCACTGACTGCATGTCCCCTGATTCACCAGGACATACAAGCACACACCATTATCTCCCCAGAGTCACAAGGACCCTCAGCATTGCCCTTGGCTTACATTAGGCCCTTGGAGAGAGAAGCACAAGAACAGCAAGCCAAATGTCATCACTAAGCAAGAAAATCCCAGGGCAGCCAAGGGGGCTGTAGCTGCTTTCACCCAGTTTGAATCTGTGCCAATAATGATGAGAACAAAACGCGGAGAAGGATATGCCCGCACTGGAAACCTTATGCTTCCCTGTTCTTAAAGGACCTTCTTATTTAAGCCAACATCTAGGTCTGGTAGTGATAGTAAGGGCAGATTACAAGACAGAATCATAACGGAGTGCAATTTTAAGGGCCTTTCTGTTCAAACCGCTGTTGTTTGGAGTCTAGCACTTGAGATCCAGGAGGACAAGGGCAAGAGACACTGACCAGGACATGCAAAGCACAAAGAGCAGAAGAACAGACCACTCGGGGCAAAGCCAAGCGGAGCCTTACAATTCCCACAGGTGCTGACCACTCCAGGCTTGCCAGCAAGAATTGATTTTCAAAAGAGGACTGATGTGGTGCATTTGCAGCCTCCCCAAGACCTGGGAGGAAGCAGTACAGCAGCATGACTAGAGAAACAGACCCTTCATAAATAAGTTGGCAGGAGGAAGACTGCCTGAACTAAATAAAATGCCTTACTGTTTGCTGTTACATCTTGCCCTTCTGCAATGGATGCAGAAGCAGACACCAAGCTCGAATGCCCAGGTGCTAATGGACTTGCTCTTGGTCACCCAAGACCTCCTGTTCTCAGCCGTTGTTTGCCCCAGTGGATGAGGGAAGCATGGTGAGGCTGAGGAGCAGTGCTGTCTCGAGAAATTGCTGGCTGATTTGGCACTCACTCCCCTAAAGAGCTGACTGAAAAGGAGACAGCTTTTCTGAGAACAGGGACATGAGAGATCTGGGGAATATGTTGATGGAGAAGAAAAAGCTGGGTGTCTGCATGCTGCAGCTACTGAGCAGCTTCAGTGGCATGAAGGCTCCTTGCCCAATGTCACCGAGTTCCTTTCCAGCAGGATAGAAGGGGCAGCACAGAGCTCAGAGCAGGCCAACCTGCCCTGACAAGAGCAAGGCAGAGGAACCCAGGGGCTGATGGGCTACACAGAAGCCACCTCACTTCTCACAGCCTGACACCTCTCTGCAAAAACCTCTGTAGTGCAAACTGCTTGGTTTTAAGCAGGTTCCCCTGTAACGTATCCCCAGACTCTGTTCTGCAGAGCATCCCTCACAGCAGATGCCTCCCTCCCTCCCAGCTGCAAGTCCTGCACCCACTGTGGGGCCCCACAGAAGGGGGAATCCCTTTGCTCCTCATTTCCCCAGCCCAGGTTCCCGATGCTCCAGCATGCTTTTGCATTTCTCCCTCCCAGCCCCTCAGAGCTCTCTGCCAAAACCAGGCTTCCAGGAGCCTGCAGCTCAGAGTCTGCAGCCAGCGCCCAGCCTGATCTCATGCAAAATTCACTCTTGCAGACACGCACCAACCTGCTGCTCTATTACCAATAGTTGAACTGCAGCTGAACCTACCAGAGACTTTCTTGATGCTTGTCTGAACCGATTAGGACACACTTCAAAGCCAGTAAGGGACCCCAGCCTCTCGATGCGCTGCCTATTACCACGATGCCTGTCCCAGTGCCATCCTCTCCCCCTTCCCCAGCTCACTGGGGGCCTCCCGTTTTCTCTTTCCAGCTGAGCCCTCCTCCAGCAAGCGGATCAGTAGCGCTGCAGATCTCCGCTCCGTCTGGGTTTGCACATTCATCCCTTCCCCGGTGCTGCCTGCCTGCTGTCATCCCAAACCGAAAGCCCTTTACCTAGGGGATGCTGACTCTCAGAGCTGGCGTGCCGAGGCTTCATAAGGAGCTGAGCCTGGGATCCTCTGGAGGCGGTGCCATTCCCAGCAGTGAGAACAGAGTAACAGTCGAAGCATGGTCTAAAAAAAAGAGTGGGGAGGGTGGGAACGGTCGGGGGGAAGGGGAAGAGCTAGATTCGTGGCTTTCAGCCTTTGCTCTAACCTGCCGCTCAGCTCCACGTGCCTTGATGCCTGAGACCTTTAGGCCCGGGCAGTTACACGCTGCTCCCAAAGGGCCCGTTCCCCTCCACCCTGCGAGGGGTCTCGCTCCAGCGTGGGCAGCGGGGCGGGCAGAGGTGCAGCAGGGCGTTTTCTGGTGGCTGCTGGTTCCTCGGAGCACAAGCCAGCCTGGACCCAGGGCTGGGAGCCAAAGCACCCCCCTCCCTGAGTCAGGCCTGTCTTTTTATTCCCCCCTTTGGATCTCGATGCCGTGAATTATGGTTTTGGGGTTGGTTTGGTTGGTTGGG